GGTACGTCGACGTTGAGACAAAAAGCATTTTTCTGTTAGCAACGGGTGAGGCGGTGGGGGGAGGGAGGATGGTCAAAAAGGCACATGGGTCTGGGGTAAGGTGGGGTCGGGCGATGTGGTGTGCGCACGACCGGAACCCCAAGGCCACACTGAGTATAAGTCTGGCGCTGTGTGGGGGAGCCGGGGAGAGCCAATGAGCGCAACCAAGTAGCCACTAACAAAACAACAAATTCCCTTAACCACTCTCTCTACTGAATTACTAATTTCTCCTCCGAACAAACGGTTTATTGTCTCTCGTTTGTTACTAGGTTCTATGCAGGAGGAGGGGCTATCGCTAATCCACTTCGTCGTCCCGCACTTACTTTACCCTTCGAGAAGGACCAGGGCTGCGTAATCAGCACGGAATTTCAAGTGGCCTACACCGACGAATCTCTGCCCCCTCTCCCTGGAGACCAAAAGCAATTTCAGCCTGGCCACACCGTACCGTTGCCTCGTATCCCTAAGCCTCCGCGGACACTCAGCAGCAGCAGCAGCAGCGCCTTCCCCAGAGCCCCGCTTATCTCCCTTTGTCGTCTGCTTGTCTCTGCTGGTGTCGCCTCAATTTTTTAGCCAGGGGAGCGCCTGTGGGTAATTTGCACCAAACGAGCGTCGCCCTCTGCACGTAGCCAGCAATGCCGAGGGTCGTATAGGCGCCTACCCAGCGTCCGGGGAGGTCGTATCGCTGCCGGGGAACCTGGAACGCCCGCCACCGTTGCTAGGCAGATACTACGACTCTATTTGTTGCTGATTTATTGCTGATTTATTGCTGACGTAATGGTATAATGATGAAATTGGAGTAGGCTGATGTGTGTATCAGACGCTGCAAGGTAGATGAAACCTGAGTCATATTTCAAAATGACCTGTTAAATTGAGGCAAAACATCAAAATGTATTAGATACACTTGGATCAATAATAATATCATGGTATAACGTCTAGCTTTTTTCGTTGGCTTCGGCTTCGGCCCGCTTTTTGGCTAGCCCTTCTTCGAACCGTTTGCGGGCGTCCGGGGTATACTCAAGGGTGCGTTCGTCGGCCATCAGCATCTTCAACGGCACGTTCTCGCGCTGGCGGCGTTCGATCTCTTCCGGCGGGTGCGGCTCAAACTTCACCCACTGAAAGTCGCTTCCCAGCGACTTGATCACCCAGATCCCCGCGAGTACGGCGAGGGTACTCACGACGACGCGGTGGGTGAACGGCGCCCCCAGCGGCGGTTGTTTCGGCGGCATGGCTGGTGATGAGAGGTTGTGGAGCAGATCGCGATGGTTAAAGGTTTGGGGTATGTGCAGGATGACTCGTCTCGTTTTATGAAGACGTGTCTATTGGTGATAATCATGGAGATTCTTGACATGATCCAATTATCAAAGTAAGGTGATTTTTGATATCACGAGTGAATCGAACTTCGCTTCATCGAGTTCACTCGTCTTTCCAACCATTCGTTCCTCATTAGTTACCGTAAAATGTCCATTTCTTTGATGCCAATGGACTGTTTGAATGTTTTTCTTGATGCAGATGTATTATCTAAGTGTCTATGCTGAATATCTAATGCCTAGGGTCATGGGTGTCGTTGGTGGTTGGAACTGGAGGGTTGAGGGTCGTCGTCTTCGCCATCACTGAATTCAATCACCACTTCGCGACGGTCATAAACATACACGTTATGGCGAGGATTAGTCGTAGTTCTAACTGGATCGCGAGGAGTAACGTCGTCGGTGCCCACTGACACTGATCGGGGGATCAGGAACCCGGCGGCAATGATGCCATCAGTCACTTTCAACACCGCCTGTTTCAGCAGCTGGTAGGCGTTCTGGACGCGTTCCCACTCAGCTCCCGCCATCTTCTGTCTAAGCTTAGCTCTCTTTCCAAGAAGGGCGTCGTGGTCTCCCGTGGCCAGCACGGAGTCGTCGTCCAGCTTATCTTCAAAGATCTCGTAGCGGTCGATTTCGGCCATTTCGTCCTCATAGAAGCGACGACCAAGCACCCCTTCCTTCTCCTTCACCTTCATGATCATATTAAACTTGTTACACCACTCCCAAGGTAATACCACACAGATTACGTAAGTGACGACGGAGAACACTTCGGAAAGCTCATAGATGAAAGCATTAGACACGTCAGCCACGAAAAATGCCACGGGTGAATAAATGAGCACAAACGTAAGTCCCAGAATCACCCATATTTTGGAGTTATGGTAAATATAGTGGATCTTACTGAGCATAAACACCAGCACGATAGTCGCGTAGCACACGGCCATGGCGATACGGACAAGATAAATGAATGCCGGTAAGATGTCAGCTGCCTCTTGGTTATTTGGAAACGTGGCAAACTTAGCGATACCCCAGATCACTTGCGAACACACGGCACAGAACACACCGATTAAAAGCGTCATTCTCCGCTCTTTTTGACGTTGAAATATCCGCATCACCACTTGAACCTGGTTCACTTGAAGCAAGAACACGGTGATCAAATCGAGAATTTGAAGCCATACCAGCTTATTCAAAGTATCGAGCACTAACAGCCCTTTTAAGTACCCCACCGATTGCTGCTGGTGAAGGTCCGTGATCAGCCGGATCACCACGGCAAGGATATACGCCAGCAGCAACACCGACAGCAATTTCAAAAGCATCAGCGGCTTGATCGTGTAGTTGGTGAGGACGAAGATTGTGAGGAAAAGCGTAAGCACCGCGGAAACGGAGATCAGGTAGATGATAGCCACCACCGAGTTGGCAAACCGGCCTCGCAGAGTATGGGCAAACTCTGTCCACAGCTCTCTCGCCACTGGCAAAGCCTTGGAGTACTGGTGCATCACGTACCCCATCACCACGTTGAGCATGGGTACTTTGTCCTTGTAGCACGCTGGAGTGTAGCGGGCTTCATCAACAAAGTGGAGAAAATCACCTTTGGCCGATACCACTAGCCCCTGGGGTAGTGGGATCTCCGAACACAGGCGGTAGTCCTGGTACTCCCACCATGTATATCGCCAGTACATGACGAGGCTGAGATGGAATAATTCGCAGTAAATGGCGCCAGCGGGAGTCGAAGGTTTATATGCAGGAAGTTATGTTATTAAAATTGACCATCACAATGTTGACCACCACCCTGAAAAACCCGGATTTTTACTAAACCATCGCAGGTCTCGTCAATCGTGCTAGTGTTTACAAGACTTTTGATCTGCCAACGGTGTTGGGCCCCCCGATTACCCCTCATTTCC